CCCTAAAGTGACTCTTCTCTAGGCCGAACTGCTGGTTTTGCCAAACAAAGCACCGCATCTAACCAAGGTTTCACCATGGGAAAATCTTGCCTAGCCTAGCCAACCTTCTGTGATGGGGCGACTACATGGTACTGATGTCATCTGTCTTATCCTATGCAAGCCTTTGACACACTCTCCCAAAACATCGTTATCTCTAAATTGTACAAATACAGCAGTTAAAAATGGAACTATTTTGATAATTGGAGCTAACATCTGTATATTTCTAAACAAGATAAAAACAGTCTAGAATATTTAAGTTATAAAAACACCTGCTTTACTAATTCCTAACATTCCTTTTTCGTAATCTAGTCCTGCAATCCTTTCTTATATCCTGCATTGCAGACTGTATTAAAAGGTAATTTATCAATTAAAAAAATAACCTTATGTGGTAACAGAATGATCATCATATGAAAATGGACTCTTTATTGGTTATTAATTCCTTCAGCCAGCCTTACTCTAGTACGCCTTCAATTAAGTGCTAATTTTTACAATAACCTTGCATATTCCTATATTTTTCACAACTTGATCCTGTAAGTCTCAGAAGAGATAATCCTACAGTTTTCAAGCACTGCCAAGTCATCTTGCATAAAATTCGTAAGAAGAATTTCTGATCTGAAACAGAGACTGAGCTACGCCCCCCTCACCCCCCGAAAATTAGCTGCCTACACAGAAGACTTAGCTCTAGATTTGGAGAACACTGGATTTAGCAGTTAATCCACTTGCCTATCTTGGGACCTAACAAACAGTAATAGAATCATATTCCACAGTCCTGTTCTCAAAGTTCATAAAATAACTGGATCCAGCCATTCTGGCTCTGTATACTGTCAGTAACAGTCACTATATAAAAAACAGTTTTCATTGTTTTCATAGATAGTTAAAGACTACACTCCATCAGTTGAGTTCTGTGATCAATAGCATGAAGTTCAACTGTGAACAGCACTAAATTAGACTAGGATTGCTAACACTCTCAGAGACAGCAAAATTCTAAACAGTTGGTGAGGGAAAGGTCCATCTTATTCACATAATTTACTGATGTACCTAATCCCTCCAATTTTTTTATCAACTTTTTAATAAAACACACCTAAAAATCCATCACTCACTTCTAAAATTGAGTGTTTGCATAACAGTCATACTTTATTCTTGAAGTATACCATGGCATAAGGAATCCAGTCACAGCATATATTGCTTTCCTGTCTCTCCTTCCTTCCATTGCTCTGAATTTACACACAGCCTTGCAAAATTTGTCAGAGAATTTATGAGACTCAGCACAAAATCTATTTTACCTATACTTTCCCAAGGAGATGGTGTTGGAATCAAGATAATTATATTCTACTCGCTCAACAAAATTACTCAAGCAGAAAATTCTGCTAAGATTTCTCAGGGCTGCTTGCATGGTACCACTTAGAGAGCAGCCAGTCTTCTAAAAGACAGCTTTTAAATCAGAGGTTTTGAACAAGATCTTATACGTAAACTTCTCACCATTCCATTTGACTCTCTTCACATTCACAGCACTTTATGCTGGGTTTCCTTTGTGTGGATGAGGGAAGAAACTGTTTTATGCATGATTAAAGCTGCCATTTTATTACACTGCATTTTCTTTGAATGCTAATTTCTGTTTG